TCGCCAAACCCGCTGTGTACACATCAATCATGTTGTATACGGACGAATCGTTCCTTTCCACACAAAACATGGCAAATACAATGCACTGCATATTTAGGGTGACGAGGGGAAGCGGAGAGATTCGAGACCTCAGCAAAAGCACACAACACTCGGTCGACACATGTGTGTCTGTGATTTCACATATAATTACCCTGATCCAATTCAGTTCATCCTATTCCAGAGTTTTACCCGATTCCGAATGTGGACACAGTCTGAGAGCGTTAACATTCTGTACCAACACAATGATCACTATGACCATCATACAGGTATGTTGCTATTGGTGGTGATGGTGCAGTGGTTTACTCGCTTTCATCGGTGTGCTTCGGAATCTGTGCTCCAAGGTTCGAACCACGTCACTAGCACCCAACTTTGGTGGTGGTAGCGTTGCTGTTGTCCGGTTCAATGATACCACGCCTAGCCTAGCGGGGCGGTATATGGTTTGCCACCCCAAGTCCCGGTGCTTAGGTTGCCGGTTAAACTCACTGAACAACAGGTCTTCGTGACTATGGGATATACCTTGCCTGTTGTTCATCACGTTAAGGTGTGTAATAAATACAAAAACAGCGAACTTCACTGATCGCTGCCACACTAGCAATTTGTTACTTGGACAAGGATTGGGCCTATTTTGAGGGACGGGGAAATAAAACACACAGTCCAGTCCAACTGTGCATACATCTATTCTCAAGCATTCTGGAGTGACGGGAAATGACAACAACCAGAACGCCACCACTGTCGGTTGGCTAGCATATCCTCTAGTGTCTCCAATCGACCAACCGGCGAGCGCAGTCGGTGATAATTGTCGCTCAGCCCAGGGTCTGGTTGTTTGAATCCGGCCAGAACAGTCGACGAAGGGCAAGCGGTGGATGTAGTGTACCTCGACTTCTCGAAAGCATTTGATCGGGTGAATCACCGAATCTTGTTACAGAAGCTCTACAATAACGACATTCGAGATTTCGTGTTTGATTGGATTAGAGCATTCCTGCAACAACGGACCATATCAGTTCATGTTTCTCATTCCATATCCGGATTTATCAATTCCACCCGCGATGTTCCACAAGGGTCCGTACTCGGTCCCCGTCTGTTTCTTGCATTCATAAATGATTTACCGAAGGTGTTAGGTCCAAACACAATACTGTTCGCAGACGACACCAAAATTTGGAATACAGTAATAACTTGAGGGCTCTCTAACACTTCAAGAATCATTCAACGCAGCCTATCAATGTTTCAAGGAGAACGACATTGAATTCAGCGTTTCTAAATGCAAAGTCCTATCTCTACGCCACAAGTGAAGATTCTCGTATTTTCTCGGAAATCAGCAGCTACCACATAATTCTAGTGAAAAAGACTTAGGTATTGTTGTTCAAGAGGATTTAAGCTGCTCCATCAACTGTGCTAAGGCTTCGTCTACTGCTATAAAGAATGTCGGCTTACTTCGGCGAGTCTTTGGTCGGTTTGAATCAGCACTGTTCCCACGTTTGCTATACAGTGTACATTCGACCGTACACAGAGTACGCCATTCAAGCTTGGAGTTCATGGTTGCAACGTGATCGCAAGATGCTTGAGCGCCCACAAATGATGGCCACCAAGATGGTCAAGGGAATGCATTGCCTCACCTATAAGGGGAGATTACGATCATCGGGGCTACCGCTGACGTATCAAATACTGCAGAACCCAAACCATCCATGTTGACAGCTGCTCATGTTATGGAACAATGTACACCTTAGGAGGGACTGTTTCAAGTTAATGATTCCAAAGTGTCGACCGGAATGCCGGCGCAAATCTTTTGCAGTCAGAGTATGCAGTACTTGGAACACCCCTCCATCTCACTTTTGTTTGTGCACCAACTATCGAATCTTTCAAGCGGAGACTCGAAGAAACCTTGGTACACCTCACAGTCCTACACCATTAAAGCAAACGCAAATTCATTGAAGCCTACATTCTTTATAATCTCCTACATGGAACTGTATGTGATTTATTTTTTCGCCGTGAAGCGATCCAATTGTGCAAATATCCTATGGGGACAAGAGAAACATGGGCTTGAAAGTTATTCCCATAATAAAACTTTGACTTTGGCCACTACCACTGTAATTCACGACTCACATTGATTGGCTATCGAGCATTATGATAGAACGAGAGTACGGAACACGTTCAGGTGAGATTTGCATCAGTATATGGTATGACTTCATCCCACTCCCCGTCACAATGATAGTACACACTTTGGCACAAGCCATGGAATCCGGACTGTGTTTAATAACTATGCACGATAATTTACAGTAAGAGGCGATCAAGAAGCAAAGTTGTGGATCATGATTTATGAATAAGAATAAACTTAAAGCATTTCACTCTCTTCTTTCAGTCCTCTATAAACTAATTTGATCGTTGGATCACAGGAGACTAATAATATCGACAAAGGCATGCAAAAAAGCTAAAATGCATTATATAATGGATCTTTTGTGAATAAAAAGGTTCTAACCCGAGGTGCTTTTTTATTACACACACACACACACACTTGCATGTGATGAACAGCAGCAGACTGGGTGTACCTGGAAGAACTACTGCTCAGCGACAGAAACCGGGACTTGGACTGGTGAACCATATACGGCCCCGCTAGGTTAGGCGTGGTACTACTGAACCGGACGAGAACGATGCTGTCCACCAAGTGTTGCGAAAACAATCAATCCCCCCCCGGGGGACCAAGTCGGATTTGACCGATTCCGAAGTTCGTTTCGAATTTTTGGCTTGAACAACACACGAGGTATTCGATTTCAGAGTTGTGCTCGATCACAACTCAAGCCAACGTGTTGTGAGATCGTTAATTTCCCACGAAGTGACTGCATTTAGATGCGATGGATATCTCGGTGGTGACCGACAAGATCATCAGTCGTACCTCTCAAAAACTGAATGGGTTAATCTAAACACTCACCGTCTAAATTGATTGAGCCATTCGCACAAGGTGATGACTGTCTGCCATATAGCTCAAGGGTCAGGGTTTGAAATCCCAACCCGAATGTTCGCGGTTCGAGTCCTGACAAGGACACAAGACGTACGCACAGCTGACAAGTTCCAAACAGGACGAAACAACTGTCCAGTGCTCTTTGTTGGTTTTCACAAAGAATGTAAGCGCATTTGAATTTAGGTTCCGAGCAATGTTCAAGATGTTCTCCGACTAAGAGTATGCAAGGTTAATTCTTCCAGCCATCCTTCATGCCATCACCTAGATGGAGGTGCATGACATGCGGCTTTTGCAAGCGTCGTATTTAATCGATCTTTTCAATTTTCAGTAAAAATTTACGTGATCAGTGCTTATGTAACGCTTGGAAAACGCGCTATTATTATTTTATCGTGAGTGCATGCGTCTCAATGTGGAGACTTTTGGTTTATCACGTTTCGTTTGCTTTGCCTTGCAGGTTTATTATTAACCCCGATCCACAAAGGATCTGTCTGGCAGTGTTTCCTTTTCACTCCATGTCCTAGTCCTATCGTCGTCCATCATCCACAAAGCCTTGTCGTATCGTCTCGAGCTGTGGGAATACGAGACGAGGGACCGTCGTCGCGCATCTCTCTGTGTTCATTCCGAGGCACTGTGAGAGCCCGAATTACGCTCGCACTATGCTTGCAGCTTGGAATTAGTTTCAAGGGCATTACAAAATCAGCTGATTTGGTTGAAACATAACCGCGGTATAGCGTACCTCATCCTTTATAGGGTAAATAAAGCGTGAACTGAAAAGCTAGGAGGCACTGTACCCCGCTGTTTCGATCTAATCGGGTCTCATAATAATAAATAATAATAATAGTAATAATTTGACACCAGATATCCGGAAAGCTGAGAGAGAAATAGGATTCGGATTAGCGAGTTCGTTCTCATAAAATTGTCAGGAAACCGTGAACAAACTGCCTAGGTCACACTAGATGGTTCTCCGGATGCTGGAAGCTATTGAGGTCAGCAAACGAGATTACAAATTCGAGTCGTTTTTGGATGCACCACCGGATCCACACTAATCGTGACATTATCAAACCGAGTATCCTTAGGAGTTGGAACATCAAACAGGACCGATCGGTTCGTTGGCTCACTATGAAATGGCCACTGGGCTTGGTGAGTTTTGATTCTTCTGAAGCGTGCGTTACGCAGAAGAAGAATGAAAAATATTTTTGTATCAGAATCGTTAATTTACAAGTGCACAAATCGCTCTCACACTCGCTCCGGCTCGTTCACTGTTCAGTCTAAAAATGGTCGAATCACTCGAATTTCTTTCACCAGAGATTGTGGAGTGTCCATCGGCCGGAACAAACTGGATCGTACACACTGGTCTAACTGGCCCAGAGCAGCTTCGATCTGTTCCCGCACATGTAGATCTCGTTCGATTCGAACTCGGCTGGACAGTAATCGATTCAAATCGCGCAACAGATCGGGCGCGAGCCATGGTGACAAATTCGACTGTTCCGTGTCCTCCGGGGGACGCAATAGCGCCCGGGCAAGATTTGCTGCGGCCTGACGTACACATGGCTCGGGGTCCTGGGTTAAGTGCAACTCGATCAGAGCGAACAACTGTAAATGATCGAGAGGGGTGGATGGATAGGGGTGAGTGAGAAACAGGAGGATTGAATGAGAAAGCGCTGACTTTACACAAAGAAAGCATGCCAGGAGGAGAAAAATGATTTTACTTTTGAATCCTAGTCAGTTTAATTCGGTTGTACAAATGCACAGATTGTTCTTCGGCATACTTTTCTATTCATTAGTTCAATTATTTATTTCATAATTGCTTTTGCTGAAGATCAACAGTCAGGAACGTAGTGGGGAGGCGGAAGGAGAGACAGATAGCAGTTGCCATTTATTCGATCGATAGTTTCCGTCTTCATCTGGCGTACACTCATCCTTCGCAAAACGATGAAATCGAGATGATGATCAATCAGTCAATCGATCAGCCAACCAGCCATTAAAACACTGAAATAATCAATTAAGTCATCGATCACAGACATGCATACACACAAACAAATAAAGTCAATCGAAAGTTGAAACCGAGTTCCACATTCCACAGACAAGTCACTATAACACTTGCGATTTATATGGCCACAAAAAAACGGGTTCTGTGGAAACCAACCGAGATGCTATCGTTTTTATATATTCAAAACAACCTTGACATCGACACATTCCAGCAAATCGATCAGAATTATCTTGCTAAATCAACAACATTTGCTAAATAACTGGGATATATGAAATATCAGTCACTGCTTTCTCATCACTCGCAAAGTCACTCCATTAATTGCACACACTCACAAATCATCCAGTTTTAGTCTCGGTGCCGGTATTTTGGGTGTAAAGAAAACACCGAATGCAGTAATCTTCGACAGCTGTTTTTGCCTCTGCTAATATCCGCCTATCCCTCTCGATCTTACCGCTGACAACCATAAACGAGAAGTATGTCTGTATGTAAAGCTGTTTCTCCGGATCTTCTCTTTCCGATTCATCTATGGGTTGTGACTGACAGCTGTCACTTCCGTCATCGATTGAGCGATTTCATCTGTCAAGTTTTCTGACGGGTCTAACCGGGACACCACCACCAAATCACAATGGGAACTAGGGAACACCAGTTCCATGTTTTCCTCGTCACACATGATTGCCAGAGGAGTGCCTTGAACGAACCGGTCATATTGATCGTCTGCTTATTTACCTCTGGTAGATGGCGAAGGTAAAGGCAGCCTACTGTGCCGAATTCAGCTCGTAATCG